GTGGCTCCAATTAGAACAGCCCAGCCTCAAGCACGGAGCCCTCGCAAACAAGGCTTAGGTTCACCACACTGCCCCAGATGAGAGACCAGCCACAGCCTCAGAGAAAGACAAAGGCAGAGCTGAGACTGGTTTGGCTCAGTGGTTAGAGCGTGGGCCTGCAGACGGAAGGGTCCCAGGTTCAATTCCGGTCAGGGGCATGTGCCTTGGTGCAGGAGGCAGCTAGTCAATGTTTCTCTCTCATCAATGTTTCTAACCCTCTGTCCCTCTCCCTTCCTCTTTGTAAAAAAATCAATAAAATATATTTAAAAAAAAAAAAAAAAAAGACAAAGGCAGAGTATTTCCTTTTCCAAAAGAAAACCCACCTCAGCATAGTGGTGCCTGAGAAGCACAAGAGTAATCCATTCCTGCCAGGGGACTAGAAATCCCCTCTGAACCGGAGCAGCCCACCCCTGAAAGCCCACTGTGGCCTTGGGGGGTTTCTGCAGTCCCCGCCCGAGTCACCCAGCACTTGGTGAGACTCCAGTCTCCCCTGAAAGGGATTCCTGAAAGGCATTTATGAAAGGCACATTCTGCTCATTTTACCCAGCCTGTCCTTACAGGCCTTGGGAAGAGCGATGGCAATAAAGAGAGCGCCAACTTGAATTTGAGAAAGGTGTTGAAACACATTATTTTTACAGCTTAACAGCAAACCAATACAGAGAAGCAGGAGCTGCCCGGATTGTCCCGCTCCTCCCTGGCATCTGGCGGGGAGGAGGCCGGAGGGTTGGATTTCCAAGCGGGAGATGCGATTTCATCCCAGGGGAGTGCTATCGTGTCGGGACAGCAGCCTGGCCGAGGAAGAGGAAAGAGAACTTGCTAAAGGCCCAGAGATGGTTGCTTTTGTTCTCAATCGGAACTGCATCACAAAAGAATCCTGGGAGGGGTGTTGAATGGGTAAGAAACACGTCATCTGTCTGTGTGAAGGCATGCCGCTCCCTTCAGCCTCACCTCTGAGGGGAGGAGGCAGGACAGCGGGAGACGGTCAAAGGACCAGGAGATTTCTTAGGAATGGCAGAGGTCAGTGACTTCCAAGCAGGTCAGTTAAAAGGAAAATGGGTCCGAATTGTCAAGGCAGTGCTAATAGTTCTGTAAACTGGGGTGAGGCCCCCTCATGCTCTGGTGGTTCAGAGGTGTGCCCTTCTCAAAGCCAGGCACTCACTGGGGTTCCTTGTTGGGTCTTAGCCTCGAATCCCACAGACCTGCCATCAGGTCCCACCTCGTGTGCACCTGTGCCCTGGGATATGTACTCCACAGGCACAAAGGGCAGAATTAGCCCCTGAGCCAAGTGGACCTGCTTTACTGTCACTCGTGGAAAATCACACATGGAAAATTCTCTGGCCTCCCTTGGCGGGCGGGTGCCGGCACTATCCAGAGGACCTCAAGCATGCCACCTGTAAATTGTGACCAGTCACATCCCCATGAAAAAGAGACTCCTGTTTGAATGAGCCTTGAAACCCTGGACGTGCTACGATCTTCTCAGCACCGCCCACATCTCCATCTCAGAAGATCAGGCTGGGGATTCTCTTCTCAGCACGGGGTCCTAAATGTCCCCAACAGCGTGTCTATTTACAGGAAGCAGAAGCTGCTTTCAGAAGTAAGTCACATGGAGGGCTCAGCAAGAGCAACCCGCCTGTGCTGTCCAGGTGGTCCCCTGACCTGACGAAGTCCATATTGTCCCATCCACTTAGGCCACGTGAGCGAATTCCTGGAGGGAACGTGATTACTGTGTCAGAAGCCGGTGAAGTCATCCTTGGGGTACACAGTGTTACCTGGGGAATAGTTCCTTTCATAATTATGGTCTCCACTAGGAATATATCATATGATGTATTTTTTCCTCCAAAGACATCACTAACCATATGGGGAAAATGTAAGGACAATGAAAAAACAAGATGTTTGTTGGATGCCATAGTCAGGGCTTGGCAACTGTCAAGCTCAAGACCCAGTACCTGCCTGACTCCTCCCATACTGCCGCTGGTCCCTCACACCCTTGTTCTAAGGATGTGAGGTTCTCTTTATCTGTCTAATTATAAGATTATTCTAATTACAACCCAAGCTTTGCTACAGCATTCTATGTTGAGTTTGTGCTGTAGCACTTTGTTCTGGCAGAAACAGACTTCCTTGGAATTCACTGGACAGTGTCTTTGTGATCGAAAGAAACCTGGACTGGGAGTCAGACAGCCAAGCCCAGCATTGGCTCTGACCTTGAACTGATCACTTCTGCTTGTGGGCTCTGTTCTCTTCGCCACACAACCAGGTGTGGAGCCCTCACACATCACACGTCTCCTCTCCAGAGATGCCTGTCTCCTAGGCAATGCCCTGGTGCCCAACCCCGGTGTGGTCATTTCATTGAGCTCCGCGTGTAAAGCTGAATTTAAACAATAACAGTCAACAAGACAGAGTCACCAAAACCAACATGGTGAGAGAGGTAAGAGAACGAACCCCCGCCCAAAGGCTGGTCATCTTGGGTGACGCCAAATATACAATTGCCACATGGGGAACAAGGAAATAAGAGAGAGGCGGGATCTGACTTCTCAGCGAAACCTCACCTTTGCTGGGAATAGAGATAACCACCAGCAATGGGAGGGACAAGGCAAGAAAGGCCACTTTGAGCGGGGGAAAGCCAACAGGAAATCCTTGTGGGGAAAGGTACAGGAGGAATTCACAGGTATCAGCCCAATGCCTGGGTCCAGACTGTACATCCTACTGGTAGGGGAAATGTGGTTGGTCCCCGAGGCACTAGCTCACTGGAGAAGGAGCACAGGCGAGCCTGCTGGCGCTGAGGATGGAGTGAGCGCCAGAGGAGCCTCGGCAGCTAATGCCTCTGATTCAGGGAAACTCCAGGCTTCCATGGGTGCAGCCTCCAGTCTAATGGGACAACCAGTCCAGCACACAGCACAGAGCAAAGTCAGAGAGCACCAAGCCTGCAGAGGCAGCACAGGGACCCGGGCATCCCTGAGGGCCTGTGCCAGGCGAGGCACAGGCACCAGGTCAGATTGCAGAGTTAGAAATCACCGTCCCACAGACCCGGGGCCTGCCTGGCTCGCTGGGGCACATGGGCAAGCCCTAACCACTCAGTTTCCTTTCTGTTCAGTGAGGAGGTGGACCGGTATCTCACACCCTGAATGGATGCCGCAGTGAACACATCTCAATCCCAAATTGCAGGGTGCTGAGAACAAAGGACAGGATGGTGTCCGCAGTGGGGGAAGGGCAGACACAGGTGCTGCTACTGAGGAGGGAGCCTGGGAGAAAGCCAGAAATGGGCCTTGCTGGTCAACTAACCAGCCACGGGGATACAGAAACCCCAGCACGCCCAGCTTCCTCGGGCCCCAACCATCTCTGACTCACGGGCAGGTCCCTTGGGGCTCACGTCCTCCTCCACCCCTCCTGAGTAACAGCGGTTACTGTAGGGCAAGTGTCTCTCTGGCAGCCACTTAAGCTGAACTTCCAAGTGGTGGCCGCTCCCTCACTGACTAAGACGCCATCACGTCGGTGCAGGTGGACAATTAGTGGGACCAGTTCTAACACTCAGAGGATACAGGGTGGACACACCACATACCTGACTGGGACATGTTGTTCTTCACATGCAAACAATGGTTGAGTACCTACTGCGTTGGCCTGCAAACCGAGGCTCTATCACAGTCTGCAGATGTTTGCATCTCGGCATTGCAAGCTCTCTTCCCATTTCCAGGAAGCAATTCCCATTTCAAGCTCTCTTCCCATTTATAGGGAAGCCATCCAAGCATTCCCAGCCAGCAGGACAACATTCCTAAGGCCACTTGTACCAGATGGACCAAAACTGGTCTACTCTGCCCATGGTCTTGCCACAATATGTCTACACAGACAAGTCAAGCTGAACATAACAAGGCCCCATGGTCACCTGGTGCATTGTTGTTGTTTGTTTGTTTTTTGTTTTGTTTGTTTGTTTTTGGTAAAATCTTATTTCAAGTTCAGGAGAAAAAGACTGAAACCCTGTGCTGACATTTCAATAGGCTCATACATTTTCAAGATGATTTAAATAATTTGTTAGAAACCAGGGGCCATCCTTTCTTGATGATGTGTAATGTGTCCTCTCCCACCCTCCAGAGAGTTGGATGGGTAATGAATGCAGGGAGAGAAGCACAGGGAGATGAGGAGTAAGTGCCATAGGAAGAAACAGGTCCGAGATACCAGCCCAGGGAGCACTGAAGCCACACCCGCTGAAAACCCAGAGCTAGCCAAGGAACATCCAAGCCGCTAAGAATACTCAAAATACCGTCCTTTACCAATTGCCATTGACGTGCAACAAGCTGGTAGCAAACTCAGGAACTGTGTGGCTTTCCAGAGACCTCCCAAGTTCCATCCTCCCTCTCTCTTCTGCTTTCATTTCTATGCTTCGTTTGCCAACAAAGTGTGTGTTTTTTTAATATCCCATCAACACCACTCGTGAGATCCTTGTGAGTGGTGTTGATGGGATATTTTAAAAAAATACATTGTTGGCAAATGAACCATGAGATCCTTTAAAGATCCCTTAATGTAAATGATTGGTTTTGAGAGAGGTCATGCTACATCGCCAGCTACCTTCTAACACTTCAAACCTGGGAGGGAGCTCCTGCCTTCCATTTTGCTCTGAAACTTTAAAAACAACAACAGCCCCATCTAGAAAGACTACCATAAACAGCCTCCAGTAAAGAGGACCCTCTGAGTGCTGTCCAGAATCCAGCGCACCTGGACACAGGCCCATCTTTGGGAATTCTTTGTACTCATATGAGAAGTTAAGAGCCACCACGAGTCTTGAATCATCTAATCCACCTGTTCATATCATAGGCAATAAAACAAACAAGTACCGGTAGGCATAAAGCAACGCACTATACCGGCCAACACGGAGTAACAGCCTCCCACTGCCAGACCCCGATTTCCCCAAACCTCCTGTTGCTTCCTTCACAGGTTCCTCCCACCTGCCACCACAGCAGCCGCCCTCCTACCTTTTTTCTTCCACCAGGGGCCTTCTGGGACTGAGTAGGAAAGATCCTTGAATTCAATGTTGATCGCCGTCCTCCGGGGCAGGGAGGACAAGCGCTGGGCCTCTGTGAGGTTGTTGTCCACTTTCTTCAGATGCCCGTTCAGCAGATCCTTCTCGCACAGCTCCGTGTTGGTGGAGACCACCTCGTCCACCGAGACGCACACCGACTTGAGCTCCGTCATCACTGCAGAGTAGCTGCTGGTGTTCTACAAAGACAGGGGGGGAGCACCAAGAGAGGTTACCAGTCCCATCGGGAGAAGAGCAGAGGGGACCGTGAGCCTGGTGGCCAGTCCCCTGGCCATTGAATACTTATAGCAACGCTTCTTAAACTACAAAGGGACTTTGGTGGAAGAAGCAAACGTACCCAGAGAAATCTGTTATCTCTAGCCATCACTTTTTTTTTCTATTAAAACAGTATTTAAGATAAGACATGAAACTTATCTACCAGTCTTCCTTTGGAATCATAAAATCTAATCACAAAACCACAACGAATGAATAATAACCAAAGAATGAAACCCTGGCCACCATAAAATGTTATCTATGTACAGTAGACTCATTAAAAATCCTAATAAAGGTACACAAGGCTCCTAAAAACTGTGCAACTGGAAGTTTCATTTAACATGAGCTCTTTTAGTGCCTTTCTCATGCAACCTCGTCAGCGCTTCTCACGAGCAATGACACCACTGGAACCTTTGGAGCCTTCATGTTTCCCTTGTAAATTTTCCAAATCACTCTCAACCTCCTCTCTCATCATATCTTACTAACAGCATTGATACAAGGTAAGAAAGATTAATATTTGTTCTCTGTTAAACAGATGAGGAAACTGAGGCGCAGACAATTTAAGGAACTTGAACTTGTTCTGAGCTCTATAACCAAGGGAGGGGCAGAAGTGATCCCAGAATCTGAGTCATCAAGAAGAGACACCTCAGGAGAAGGAGAAGGAGAAGGAGAAGGAGAAGGAGAAGGAGAAGGAGAAGGAGAAGGAGAAGGAGAAGGAGAAGGAGAAGGAGAAGGAGAAGGAGAAGGAGAAGGAGAAGGAGAAGGAGAAGGAGAAGGAGAAGGAGAAGAAGAAGAAGAAGGAGAAGAAGAAGGCGACACCTTAGATCCCCTTCCACCGCATCACCTGAGTACCTAGCATTTTGTAGCTACAGTGGCTTTCAAGCTTCCATTGGGAGTCACTGACCTGCTACAGAGGTGCCAAGAACCAAGGGTATTTATGCAAAAAAAAAAAAAAAAAAAAAAGGAATATCTTTTTCTAACAGTTTGGCAACCCTGAGCAAATCAATATGCTTCTGGTACTGCCAAGACTCAGAAGAACCCTGGGGTGGGCAAATATGCTGTGCTTTCTCTTGACACAAGAGGGTACATTTCACAGGGGCCCGAAGCAGAGCTTCTGGCGATGCTCCTTCAGATTGCTGAAGGCGGTGGCCTGGTGGGGAGGGCCCTGGATAACTGTCTTAGGGAACTCAGGACCTCGTGACTGAAATAGGATCAGGGACACCCTGGGCATGTTGTGTGTGCTGAAGAGGAACACGGTACTGTTATTTTTCCATAGGTTTGTTAGGCCCATTGCTTTAGAGCTGATACTTTTTTTTTTTTTATCACTATTGTTTCTAATTTTAAAAAACCCAAAACAAACCTGAGAGTGGATCATCCATAAATATTCCTACCAACCTAGCTGCTCCTGTGGCCAAGACAAGCCCTCCCCCCTGCTGGAATGCCGGATGGAGGACCTGGCTGTGTCCTCAGGACCTGGCCTTTTCTCCATCGGTTCTTAAGGCTCACAGAGCTTGCAAGGCTTGGTTGAGAATGTCTCGAGCACAGAGGGCCGGGCTGAGCAGATGTGGGCATAGGGGTTTCTGGTTCTTGTGATGTTTGAAAATGTTGCTTTGGCATTTAAGAAAAGGGCACACAAGCCCTAACCGGTTTGGCTCAGTAGATATAGTGTCAGCCTGTGGACTGAAAAGTCCCAGGTTCGATTCTGGTCAAGGACATGTACCTTGGTTGCGGGCACATCCACAGTGTGTGTGTGTGTGTGTGTGTGTGTGTGTGTGTGTGTGTAGGAGGCAGCTGATCGATGTTTCTCTCTCATCGATGTTTCTAACTCTCTATCCCTCTCCTTTCCTCTCTGTAAAAAATCAATAATATATATATATATATATATATATATATATATATATATATATATATATAAAGACAAAAGGACATAGGCACACACACACACACACACACACCCATCAGGCATCTCCTGACCTCTGGAAGGCTTAACCTCTGGAAATCTTAACTGATTGTAACACTCTGTGGATAAACATGTAAGTGCTGAATAAAACCGACAACATTAAGCTTGGTTGGCTACTGGCACGGAGCATATGAAACGTTTCAGATGCAAACGTAAGTAGGTCCACACATTCCGGAAGTCAGGGAAGGTCTGTGTGGGCCCAACGTCGGGGCTCCTGAGAGCCTGGCATGACAGGATGCCACCTCTGCCTCCGAGCTCACCCCGGGCCTTCTGTGCCCAGGCCTCTGGGAGGAGTAACAGCAGGCCTTGCCACAGCTCACCCTCTCGGCGTTGGCTGATGAGGAGAAAACTGACAACTTCAGCTCTGGCCCCCAGAGCAGGCACCCAATGCCAACCCTCTGCCCACTCCTCTTGTCCTGGAGGGTACACGCTGCTGTCCCGGGATTATCACACACTTTGACTCCATCATTGGCCTCAAAGCACCAAATCCTGGCCTTGGGGGATAGCAAAGGGAGCAACAAGCTCCAGGCCTGGTCCCCAGGTTTGTTCTCATTGCCACCATCCCCATCAGGGAAAAGGCTAACCTATGGATCACACCCACATTCTGCTGACGGACTTGGGCTCTTATCGGGGACCCCCATTGTTGTGTGTTCAGTTGGGGGCAAGGAGTAGCCCCAACCCCTCTCCAGTGGTGGTCCCCCTGGACTTCTACCTCAGCATTCTAGCTGCTACAGACCACCCATGCCCTCCCCCCAGAATCCATTACAAGTGTCAACCCCTGCACAGGCCAGGAATAGGTCCCAGCTTTCCGTTGTGATGAAGACAGGGATGAACAGCCATTACTCCAACCACCTGCTCATGGGCTGTAGCAGATGCCAGGCCTGTATTATGATGAGGCCTGGCTTCCCTCCTCCCCAGACCCTAAGCATATCTGCTCAATCACTTACTCATTCATTTAACAAACTGAGCACCAAATAAAGCTGGGGGTTAGCAGTCAGCCACACAGACATGGCCTGTGGCCCCGACAAGCTCATGTCCAAGATTGAGCCCCAGGCAAGGAGACAGGCAATTAGTTACAGGACCGCGAGGCAAGAGCTACAAGGAGGCCATGCAGAGACGCAGAGGGGACATGCAGTCCTGGGCAGGACAGACCTGGGTGACTAAATGCTTTGGTAATGAGAGAGAGAGAGAGAGAGAGAGAGAGAGAGAGGCCAGAGGCCAGTACTCACTATTCAAAGTATTAAACAATAACACCTTGTGCATAGTAGGTGTGACTATACACAGCGACTCTGGACGTAGCAAGTACAATGAGCCTTTTAAACTCCTGGATGCAGAGATGATGCCTCTCACGATCTCCCGACCCTAGCAGCATTTTATCCTCTCCCCCATCATCCATTTCAGAGGTGGAATCTCAGGCTCAGAGAGACGGCCCGAACCACCCAAGACCCCACCGTTAGTGAGGAGCCAGGCCGGGGTCCAGCTCTGTGTGGCTTCCATATCTGCCTCCTGTCCTCCCAGCCAGCATCCTTAACAGCGCTTAGCTTCTTACAGGTAAGGTGTAGGTGACCCTGGTCATCCCAGTCCCTGTCCACTACAGGGAAGGCCACACACGGAAAAGTGAGAAACCATACCACCCCACCCCCAGCTACACTGACGCCAAGGGTGTGTACACCATCATCCACCCTTCCTCCATGGGTGTCTAATGGCCTCACCCAATTAATAGAATCATGGGATCCTGTATGATGGGAGGCAGTGGCTGTCACTCTGAAATAGACCAGCTCTCTGGAAACACATCCTCCGATGAGAGAAACCGCCGCCGATGTAGGTTACAGCTCGCTGTCCTCAGCCTCCTGAGCTCATTAATAATGAAACAAATCCATCTTCCCTCCCCACTGATTCCTCCCACTGTGTGTTTCCCCGCCTCACGGAACCATTGTCTTGACCTCGCCCCCTCCATGCACAATGCGTGCTGCGTAATCAATGGTGAACAGCAGGAAGTCCATGGCCGGGTGTTGGATGCTGAGTAACCCAGGCTTGGAGGGGTCCCACCTGCTGTTGATGACAATGCTGCCTTGGGTCGAAACCGGTTTGGCTTAGTGGATAGAGCGTCGGCCTGCGGACTCAAAGGGCCCGGGTTCGATTCTGGTCAAGGGCATGTACCTTGGTTGCGGGCACATCCCCAGTGGGGGGTGTGCAGGAGGCGGCTGGTGGATGTTTCTCTCTCATCGATGTTTCTAACTCTCTATCCCTCTTCCTTCCTCTCTGTAAAAAATCAATAAAATATATTTATTAAAAAAGAAAGAAAGAAAATGCTGCCTTGGGCGCTCATGTCAATGTTGATGCTAACAGATGAGATGCCTACTTAGCTGGGAGGGTCTCTAACAGGCAGCAGACCCCAAGGTCCCTGAGACTGGCCCTCTCTACTTATCCAGGAAAGCCTGGTTAGAAATACACATGCACACACACACACACACACACACACACACACACAGCATCATGAGGAAGGAAGGGCGGGGAAGAGGAGCTGGCAGGCCCCAGGTGCTGGCGCACACTGGTTCTCACTTCTCTGTTTAATTTCTCATCACTGGCCTTGGTGTCCACCTGGGCAGATCCGTCCTCGGTACTCTGAGCACATTAGTGGAAAATGGACGGAGGAGGATTCTCAAGGACACGGCCTGAGGGGAAAATATCCCAAACAGCACCCCCTTCGTGGCAAAGGGCAGGTGCCACGTGCATGGTCACTCAGAATGCCAATCTCACCAACGCCAGAACCCGGCTTCAAACAGGCCCAAGTACCACCATCCCATTGGAACCCTTGCCTCCGCCTCCCACCAGCTCGGGGACTCCGCTCCCCAGGCGGCCCCGCCTACCTAACTGTCTTTAAATGCCCCTCTGGGCCCAGGCTGCCTGGGCTGGCCCCCAGAGCCAGGACCCCCCAAGCCAGCCAGGGTGACGGGAAAGCAGACTGCGGGATCCCAGGAGCTCTCCGGGGCTCATTGTTTATGTCCTGAGTAGAATTTATTATCATTTATTATTATTATTATTTTTAAAAACCCGGTTACTTTTTCCAGGGAGCAAATTCATTTGAAAAGAAAAAATTCTCTCGGAACAAAGAAACCAAGAACCCAGCCACTAGCACCTCCACGTGAGAACCAAGCACTTGCTTTCCAGGTCCGTAACGTAACGATCTGGTCATAAAACCCTCTGTACTCCAACACGCTCTGATTCATTCTTTTCCCACGTGGATAAGCCACTTCTGCAGCTTTGAAAGAGCTTCCAGGGCTGCTCGGTACCTAAAAGACCAGAAACTTTCGTTCCCTACAACTCTCAGTCATAAGCTCCTTCATTCTTCATCAGGGGGCCAACGAGAAGGCAGGACTGCCAAGTGTGATCCAAACGCTCAACCAGATGAAGGCGCATGTCCTGAGGAGGGACCGGTTTCCATCCCCTCTCAGCTGTCAGGCAAAGCAAGCCTGGCGGGACCGGCCTGGGAGCCGCCGGCTCTCCCCTCCTCGCCAGCCTCCCCAGCACCCGCGCCGGCCCCGTTCTATCGGTTTACACGAAATCATTATATAATGAGCTGGCCGGCGCGGGGTGCTCTACAGTAACCTGTTTGGAATCACAGGATGCAGTTGGCAGAGCAGAGCATGCGCAGAAACCCGGCTACTTTTTTTCCCTTTTTTTTTTTTTTTTTCTTGAGCTTAAGGTAACTGTCGGTTAAACACCGCTGAGCCCTGCTGACTTCAATACAGGATGCTAAAAATGAAGCGGGGGAGGGGAGGGGCGGGGGTGGCAAACCGCTGTGCACCATGGGCTCACAGCCGATGGGAAGGGCCTGGCAGGGTAGTAAATACACAGAGGACAGGGAGAGGGATGGATGGGGAGGGCGAAGTGGGCTGCCATACACAATATTCTCTATCATCGGCAGGTTAGGTGACCTGAAACCCAGCCCGCAAGGACCAAACTGCAGCGCCGGCTTGGCTTACTCGGCAGAGGAATGGAGAGCCCGGGGATGGGTGGGTCCCTGGTTATTGGTTGTTTGTGTTGCTCTAACGTGAGTTGAAGGAGCTACTGTAAGCCAGCCAGGGGGGACTCTGGACCGTAGCAATGAATTCCCGGGCGCCGAGGGGTCCCCCTTCAGAGGGTCCCCTCCGGAGCCGGCCCGTGAGCGGCTCCGTCCCCACCCATCTCTCCAGAGGGCGCAGAGAGGTGGCGCGCCGGCATCCCAGCCCGCTCCTGCCCGCCTCACCCGGGAGCCCGGGGCCCCGCCGCTCCGTCCCCGGCAGGTCCCAGCGATCAGTCCCCGGGAAGCTCCGGGGCAGCGCCGGCTCTGGCTCGCGGGGGAGGCGGCTCCCTCTTTTGTCCCCCGATCGCGCCCGGCGCTCGGGAGCGGCGGGTGCAGGCAGTGCCGGCTCCCGGCGCCCGGGGCGCGCGCGGCGGCGGCGGCTGGGACCCTCTCCAGCCCGGGCTGCCCCCCTCCGGCTCCCCGGGGCGCACCAGGTCCGCAGGCCCCGTGCCCCCCAGCCCCGGCGGACACGGTCAAGGCCGTCTGCGCGGATGCCGGCCGCCTCCCGCCCGCTCCCGGCCCCTCCGCCCTCCCGGCGTCCTCCGCTGGTGCAGGGAGCATCCCGAGAGCCGGGCGGCCGGAGTGCGGGCGGCGGGGGACGGGCGCCTCCTCGGGGCCCCGGGAGCAGGGGTCAAGGTGAGAGGGCGCGGGTCTCTGTGTCTGTGGCTCTCCCGGGGGACAGCGCCAGCCCCGGGGGCGGAAAACGCGCTCACTCACCAAGGCGGTGCCGACCGAGAAAGCGGCCGTCAGACAGGCCATGCCCCGGGGCCGGGGGGGACGGGGACGGCGGGGCGGCGGCGGCGGCGGGACGGGCGGCGGCGCAGGCGGCGCTCGCTCACTCGGGGTTCAGCCGCTGCGCCCCGCGCCGGCTCCGGCTCCGGCTCCCGGGCTGCTGGGCTCCGGCCCCGCCCCGCGCAGGCCCCGCCCATCGTAGGCCCCGCCCACCACCAGCCCGCGGCCAGCCATTGGCCAGCGCGCGGGGGTGGGCGGGGCCGGCAGGTGCGCGTGCTCTTGTTTTGCTCCCGCTGGGGGCTGCCGGCCAGCTCCCTCCCTGGCATCCCACCCCCAGAGCCCTTCACGCCCCTGAGCCTAGCAGGCACGGTTGCCTCTCCTCAGCACCAGAACCCCCTCACCATGCCCCCGCCCCGAGTCTGGAAACAGGTCAGCGGCCCAGGGCTCCCACAGAAAGGCGGGGGGAGAGAGGTGGTCCCCCTCTAGGACCTCCAGCTAGGAATCCTGGAAGTGAAGGGAAAGGAAAGGGGATCTTCTCTTTTCATTTTTCTTTCTCGGGCACCTCTCTGCCAGACAGGACCATGAAGACTAGTGAGGAGATGTCCCATTATAGCTCGCATCGAGGGTGACCTCCTAAACACACACACACACACACACACACACACACACTGAGGCAGCAACACACACTCATATGCAACATAGAGTAAAAGGCTTGCTTTTGCAGAGAGATGAGAGTGATGTTTCCAGTGCCTGGCCCTGTACCTGGTCCACAGCTGTGTACCAGTAACTAGATAAGGAATGACACTCCAGACACCCTCTCATTTGGACTCAGACTGGAATATCTGATGGCCTGGCATCTGCTAAAGCCTTTATTATATACTAGAGGCCAGTGCACGAAATTCATGCATGGGGGATGAAGGGGAGGGTGTCTCTCTGTCCGGCCTGCACCCTCTCTTAATTCAGGTCTGAAACTGGCAGTCAGACATCCCTCTCGCAATCTGCAACCACTGGCACCTAACTGCTCACCTGCCTGCCTGCCTCATTACCCCTAACCACTCACCTGCCTGCCTGATTGCCCTAACAGCCTCTGCCTCAGTCCCCGCTGCAGTGGCTTTGTCCAGAAGGACGTCCAGAATGAAATCTGGAAAGTCGTTCAGCTGTCCGGTCTAATTAGCATACTACACTTTTATTATTATAGATAAGTGGAACTATTTTTTGGTAACCACGGTGACAAGGCGTTCTTTACTCCCAGTCTCAGAGGCTGTGTTTTGTTCAGTAGTTTTCATGTTGGGACTGCACACAGGAATGCATTTCTTTTCACCTCCAGCCCACCTGGGTCTCCCCTCACCATTCACACCTTACATGAACAAGCACCTATTATTTAGAAAGGAGGCCCAGCTCTTTATGTCAGGCAGGTGGACTTCACACCCACAGGGGGCTTTTGTCTGAACAGTTTCACTTGAAGAATCCATGCATTTCCTGTGTCCTACCTGCCTGCTGTATGTCCAGGTGCCAGTATCCATGCGTCAGGCCCAGGAGGTTATCTGGTGCGTTTAATATACTGAACAGAGGAGCCAACAACCTCTGAATGTTCTGGAAAGAAGATTCAAATCCACAACCTCCTGGGGAAAGTTTAGGCCAAAGGGCTTAGTCCAAGGTGCCTAATGCTTGGGACCCAGGGTTATGGATAACCCTACAGCCACCATTTGCTCCAGGGGCAAATCCTATATAATAAAAGCCTAATATGTTAAGTGTCCGGTCACCTGGTCATCTGTTCAACCAATCAAAGCATGATATGCTAATGATATGTTAGCCCGCTCAACTGCTCACTATGACATGTACCAACCACCAAGGGGCAGATGCTGCAACCCGTAGGTTAGCTTGTTGCTGGGGTCTGGCAGATTGGGACTGAGCAAGATGGACCAGACATGCCCTGGAGCCCTCCCACAGCCCCTCCCCAGCTAGCCAACCTCCCATGTCCCTCCCCAGCCCCAATCATTCACCTGTGGGGTCCCTCAGCCTGACCTCTGCCCTCTTACAATCCAGGACTCCTTGGGGGATATCAGAGAGCTGGTTTCAGCCTAATCCTGCAGGCATAAAAGGCTAATATGCAAATAGACCAGACGATGGAATGACTGGTCGCTATGATGAGCATTGACCACCAGGGGGCAGATGCTCAATGCAGAAGCTGCCCCCTTGTGGTCACTGCGCTCCCACAGGGGTAGCAGAATGTTGGGCTCATTGCTAGCGAGTGCAGGGGCAGTGGTGGGAACCTCTCCCTCCTCCACGGCAGTGCTAAGGATGTCTAATGGACAGCTTAGGCCAGATCCCTGTGGAAAGCGGGCCTAAGCTGTCAGTCTGACATCCCCTGAGGGCTCCTGGACTGGGAGTGGGGCCAGGCTGAGGGACTCCCGGGTGCACAAATTTCATGCACCAGGCCTCTAGTAGAATGTAAAGTGGGAGAGGATGACACGGAATGCACTTGGGGAGGGCTGAACGCTGCCCAGCTGCATGTCAGGACAAGTGGCAGGACAGTGTGTTGGCATCTATTCTCTGTCCAGTGTCTAATCTCACTCTTATGAGCACGTTCAAGGATTCCCCTGGGAAATGCCCTTACCCCCAAGTGCTAGGCCAGGTGATTTGTGACAGTGGCTGATCAGGAGCCAGATTTGTAACGCGATGCTTGCTGGGCTCCTGGGAATGGCCAGGGGGAGAGTGCAGAGGATGAAGCCAGGGACAAACTGGGTCCTTGTTGGCATGGCTTGAGCTGCTGGCTTTTCTGTTACAGCCTCTGGGAGATCCCCTCACTTGCTCACCCATCCAGTGTGGTGGTAATAGTCTTAGCCACGTGGAAAATAATACATAGCAAGCTTTTTTCACCATGCATGGCACACAGCAAAGCACTCCAATTCTGATCCTCACGAGTGTTACCTTTTTGTGCCAAACCAGGGAATAAGCCAATGGTAGAGTAGGTCATATATGTGACATTGGTATTGGGACTCCTGGTTGTAAAAGACGGAAGCTCAGCTCCAACCTGCTTGTGCTACAGGTAATGCATGGTCTTAGGTAGCACTGGGTTCACTGGTTTCAGACCTGCCAGGGCTGGGCACCTATTGTATGTCCCCAGCCTCCGGGTCTGGAGCTTGCTCCCTGGCTCTGCTCCCTCTCTGCTGGTCTCTCCCTCAGCGTGGTTGTCCCTGCATGGCCCTCCCAACAGCTGTATTCCATCAGCTGACAGACAGCCAGGAGAGTTGACAAACACCGAGTGGTCTGGCTTGAGTCACATGTGCTGAATGGGTCAAAGGGAAAGTCAGCCCCAGCAGATCCATGCAGAAAGATTGGGACCTGAGTGCTTCACCAAGGCTATGCTAGGGTGCTCTGAGGAAAAGTGTGGGTGCCAAGCAGGTAAGCACAAGAGGAGCTCATCACAGACTGTCCAGTCCAGACCCCAACCCCAATAAGAATTTCTGTTGAGACAAGTTGGCCAGACTGGACTTGAGAATTCCTGGGCTGGAGACACTTCTTGCCTCAACAAGCAGCTATTCCAATATTAAGTAGTTGTTGCTCGGTGGTTAAAGCATCGGCCCATGCACCAGGGCCTTGGGTTCAATCCCCTTTCGAGGGCCTATACCTGGGTTTTCGGGTTCACTCCCTGCCTCTGGCTGGGATGGGTTCTGGAGGCAACCAGTTGATGTGTCTCTCTCACATCGATGTTTCTCTCTCTCTCTCTCTCTCTCTCTCTCTCTCTCTCTCTCTCTCTCTCTCTCTCTCTCTTTCTCTCTCCTCTTCCTCCCTCCCTTATATTCTCTCTAAAAATGAGGATAAACAAAAAATAAATAAATAAATAAATAAATAAATAAATAAATAAGTAGTTGTCATTGTCAGCAAGAAGTTCCTGTGACTAATTTCACTCTCTGAAACCCGGGAGCACTGTGTTCCACAGTCACACAGTTATTCCTCCTCCTCTGCACGACAGGCCTTGAGCTGTTCAGTGGTGACGCCATATTTCTCTGGAGGCCTTTACTTCCATAGACCAAACATCTCTGGTCCTCCAACATTGATTCATGGAGAGGCTCCCTCTCCCTGCTAACCTTACCATGCATGAGTTCCATGTTCTCAGTGTCCCTTATGAAACTTGGGGTCCACCTCTGAACACCCACCTTTCAGGGTGCTCCCTCCTCGCTAATGAGTGAGCTCTCCCAGATTCACTCACACTGTTGCTAAGGACAAGGCTCCCCGCCGCTAACTGTGTTAGGCAGTTGGACAGACGAGCAGAGCAAGGAGGATGGGCCAGGTACAGAGGGCGGAAAGCCTTGAGTTCCTAGCAAAGCCCCAGGGTGACCTTTCCTCCCCTAGCATATCACTGGCCATGTGGTTTGGAACCCCCACCTTTCCTCCCTAGAGTTAATGTCTAGGTCTCAGTTGTATTTCAGCTCCAGGCCCAGAAAAGCAGCAAAACCAGACAAGCAATGCCATGGCTGCCCTCAGGGCCAGTTGCATTGGATAATGACCTCCTGCCCTGGTGCCGGCCAATCCACCGGTGGAGACCTAGACCCTGAAAGGACACATAGGAAAGATTCTATGGAGATCTTCCCCTGGGACCTCCCCTAAAATCTCTACCCTTAAAACCTTTAGGATTTAGGACCCAGGGAGCTCTCCCTCCCCAGAGCACAACCCTTGGTCTTTCCCAATTCCTCTCCCTCCCCTACCCCCAGGCATATTACCATTGCCTTCCTCACTCCCCAGTTCCTTATTTTGGGCCCTTATTTTGCCTCTATAACTTGTTTCTTAAGCCCATTTCTTCTATGAATTACTTCTTCTACCTCTGTGATTTTTCTCAGTGAACTAGAGGCCCAGTGCATGACATTCGTGTATGGGGGCGGGGGAGGGCAGAGAAGTGGGAAGATCCCTCAGCTTAGCCTGCACCCTCTTGCAGTGTGGGACCCTCAGGGGATGTCAGCCTGTTGGCCCACAGGGATTGGGCCTAAGCCAACAGTCAGACACCCCTCTCACAGCCCAGGGCTTTC